TGTGACTGAAAACAAAGAGAAAATATGTTTCTTTTGTCCAGTATCTAAGAATTCTGCTCCGGGAAATAGATATACTGACTCCGAACGCGGGTACCAACAAAAGGATCCCCGTGACCGAGCCGCAATGCCAGGTACGGTCATTTTGTGCATCAAACAATGTTGAGGCATCCAGCAAATTGCTGTCTCGCACCGTAGAAGCATGTATTCAGTTGAATGTCTTCTTGGAGTTCTCCTGCTCCATTGGAGGACCTTGTCGACCATTGAATTTTCAACAACCGGTCACCGGTCAATCTCAGGAGTTATACTTATTACTATTAGAGTGGTACCGGCAGGTGCCACTAGCTTCTCTGCTTGGCGGGTTCCCTTCAACACAAGACTTGCAAAATACAGGGTATATTGTCTCAGATCTCCACTCTACATCTGGGCTTGCTAATGAGGTAAATTTAATCAGCTATATTTTCCACCTGAGATGTGCTGAATTCAACGGCAACTTGGGAATCTCACTCGCCACATCGAACGGTGCTGGCATACCGGTCGGAAATTCAGGAATCCCAAATCTCTTGCAATCTATTAGTGCGTGGCAGGCTGATAGCCAGATATCTTCTTGCCTGTATACCTTTATGAGTACTTGCCAAGTACCATATACATACTACACACGCTCGAGACCACCGAATATTTTTTCTCTCACAGTTGATGGGTTGGACAGTGCATGCCGCCGGCGGACTCTTAATATTAGTGCCATGCGAATGTTGCCGGTGAAGCGGCGGGCAGGTTGGTGAAACTGGGAGTCCAAGCACCACCCGGAGTACCTCTGTAGAGTGGCTAGAGAATGTAATAACACTTGATTGATGCCCGAAAAGAATTACACATATTTTCCCTCATCCCAGTCACGATGGCCTTGCAAAAGACCATTTATGTCATGACTTACTTGACACCACCACGGCATGACCTACTTGACAGAAAAATGCCCCCAGTGTAAGGTTCACCTACCAACGGCTTGCGAGTCTATACTGTAGGAGTCAAACTTGTAACCTCATGGTTCCCACGTTCATCAACAAAACTCACAGATCAGTAATGTCAAATTGTACAGTCGCGAGCTTGAGCAGGATGCAGTACAACTCAATAACAACTTGAACTCATTATAGTACTGTCCTATTTCACTCAATTCAGATAGTCACAGGTCACAATGATCTTCGGAAACACCGCCAATAATTTTCTCTTGATTTATGGGAATTTTTGGCGAAAATTGAAAGTCACGTGCCATTCGAATTGAGTGAAATAGGACAGTAATTGGCGGTTCAAGCGTCCCGAAACATGGTCCCACAACAGTGAGAGGACGTCATGACCCTGATCAAAACGGAAGATCGTTGATTATTAGACGGTGTCTATGAGTTTCAATTGAGAGCAAGGGAGGACAACTATAGCTGTCGTGAGTCCATGGACCCTACCAGACAAGAGAGGGTGATGCAGTTTCTTGTGTTAGCCCGGGTGAGGAGCCCAACCAACGGATAGCATTCGAAAATCATTTGAATGCGTACACCGGGAGAGAGGTTTGGAGTGCAACAAGGTTTCCTAACCGAGGGTATCGGGACGCCTAGAGATAACGTTAAGGATAGACTGAATAGTAATCGAGGATCGAACCCGAAGCAATGGTTTAGGCCCGTTAAATTACTGGCATTATTGACTAGGGTCGCGTTGAAATTTAGTCAAAGGATTGATCAACGCGAGAACTGTCTGCGGGAAAAGAAAAACGACCGGAGGTAGCGTCAAAGATACGGCAAATACCTCGTCGAGCATGGATCTGAGGCTCCAACAAACGGCCCTCATATGAAGGAGCATTTATGGACTGAATAGCGGGAACGGCCGCACACCAAACTCTAAAGGTGAAAAAGGCATGCGCGGAGCTGTAATACGAGCAAACAAACGCTGCGAAAGATATATGTAAATGTACCAACTATCGATAGATCACATCTGATAGACCTAGCAGACAAACTAAGCGAGATCGAGTTAACTAAACTGTGAATTCTATCAGATTTATTGTCTTTCCCTGATACGTCAAAGAGGCGAGAGGTGAAGTACGCTTGGACAAAAAACTGCCATGGCCCATGAGAGGGCTGGTGTTGCCAACGGTCAGTCCGATTCGGTTCCGTTCCCGGACCGCGGCTCAAACCAAACTGTGGTTCCATGAGCCGTTGGCAGGATGCGGTTCCTCGAGTGGCTCTGACCGGTTAACCGTGTTTTGACTCTTGAGCCACTCAAGTAATCCCCCCCCCTGAAGCTTATAGAAACTCTACTTGTGGTATTCGAAATATATCTAAGCTATTTTTATTGAATAGTTTCAGAGGGAGGCCATTTTAAATGCCATTACGGGTCCAGGAATTGGCTTCCACTGGCCTTCCACGTGACGACCCACAGGTGGTTTGTCTGTCCCATGCCAAGACCAAGCCTTCTCCACCTCGTACTGACTGATATTTACTGAATCCTTCCTGTTTTTGTGATCTATAAAGGCTCAGATAGATTTTAGATAGCTTTAGAGTATCTCAAGACTCAAATTTTGAGGGGGAATAAACATATTACTGGAAGGGGGCTCAGACTGGTCAAACCGGTTCTGGAACCGGTTCTGAGCAATTGAGATGGCTCCCCGGTGAGCCGTTTTGCCGAGTGGTTCCACCCGGTTGGAATAGACGGAGGAACTGAAAGAGTCTAGGCAATGTCCTTGTTGGTTCAACAAGAAGAGCCCCAAATTGAGTGGGCACTCAAGCACATTACCATTGCCTGACCACAGGAATTAAGAACCTTTGTGGATCCTTCCCTCGCCTATCGTTATGATAAAAAATGTTGTGTTTTCAGCCTTCACCACGACGGACAACTTCCAAGGCAAAGAAATCTTGCCCCTGATGGTCATAGGAGTGGTTTGGGCTCAAAAAAGTGGGGAGATACCCCATACCCCAGCTGGCGTGGAGATTACGTTGGCAAAAACCCGGAGTGGAAATGGAGCAGATCATTTTTGGAGGAGCCCACTGGATCATTTGCGGTAGAGCCGTTCTTTACTGTACCTTCGCGTCGTGACACTAGCAACCAAATTCGTTCTATACTAGCAAACATCGGGAAAACAAGGGGCGCCGGAAATGTTCGACGCATCGATAGGGACTACTAATCTGTCAAGGGTATATCCCAAAGAAGGCTTAGCTTTCTACTGTATGCTCCTCAATCCCCGTCGCTCTTCCGCAAGCACCATCTAGTTTGGTGGCGTAGTTGTGTCAGAAACATAATGGCAGCGTTGTGCGGCCTTTCGCCGCCTCAGAGCATTCTGATGCATTTTTGGTAGAGGCATGGCTCCAAAAGATTCCATAATGGTCCATCATATTGGGTTTCCTGCACTCAGTCCCGCCTCTTACATGGCAGGAATGGATCTTCCCGACACGATCATCGCATCTATCTTACATGAGCGGGTTGTCAGGTACTGCGCACAGAAGGTTCAGTTTCAACGGCGCGAACCGTCGAATATGACCGAAATTAGCAATAGGAGCCGGGAAAGAAAAAAAAGAATGGTTATGTTGAGTTTTTATCAAACAAGGGCAGTAGAATGGCGGAAGGAAATACAAGGAACGCCCCTCACACTACACGAAAAAGTGGTTTGGTCGCAAGGTGCTTTTGACGCAGAGGAATCGAGATCAACTGGGGATGCAGCAAGCACCGCATCAACTGACAGCAATAGGGCTTAAGGATCGAAAGAGCCCAAGCAGGATTAATGTTGCGACAACTATTCAGTTTGGGCTTGAGTTGAAGAAGACGGATATGGAAACACAAAAGATACTCAACCTTCCGCGACCACGTTCGTCTTCGAACCTCACCGATGGTTGCCTTGGTTTCAGCTGGCAATTGGGCCGGGTTAAATACAAAAGGTTTATCTAGAACGAAAGGCGTTCGAGCTGTGTCCTTGGCACAATCTTTTCTGCCGAAGCCATGACCACCCTAGCTTACCATCCGCCACCAAGGAACGTCAATGCTGTCAGTTGTATTTCGGAGTCGCCTGTGAGCATGCGACGCACCAAAACACTCAGAAATCATTTTTAATATCCCTTCGTTGATGTCCAATCGAATCACACTAAACACAGTAGCTCATCATCTCCGGGATCCTGTCATGATAGTAACGTTCTATGAAAGGATGGCTAATCAGTCGTGTCAATAGAGATATTGAGAGCGGCGAACATTCATCATACCTTTGTAGGGCCAGAAACCAGTGGAACGATTCATAATGGTAGTGGGGGAAAGAAACTAAAGGTGGGAACATCCGTTAGAATCCATTCAATGCGAACGAGCGGTGGTTCAATGGTGCTGCGCACGGACCAACTTGAGGGGAGGCTATGTCTCATGCGAGCATATGAACCTCGGAAGCTACTCAAGGGTACTCTCTCACTTTAGTGTCCTACCGTGCCTTGGAGATGGATGTGTGGACAAACGGTGGTTGTTGCTGTTGATCAACCACAAACATACACGTATGCTCTTCGTCGTGTGGATTGTTTCTTCCTCTCAAAATTCATGAGATTCCCAGATCGTGATTTCTCCAGCGTCGAAGATCACAATCCCATCGTCAGGTCTTTCAAGCTCTTAAACGTCCTCGCAAGACATTGACTTGAGCTCATGATCTGTAAGATGCACCATGTGATGCTGCAAGTGCACTTCTGATATTGCTGGGGAGAGACAGAGCTGATTGTTTCACGTCGCGCGCTTTTCTCTTCAGTTTGAGCTGACCGATTCTTTTCTGGAACTTCACTATGCCTCCAGTAAAAGCCTATGGTACAGAATGACTCGGTCTGTATCATTGGGTACCGGGTTTTATTCAGGAGTGAGGAGAGCACCTCTTTTAACGAATATCAGATTTAACCAGCCCCGTTCAGCCGTAGTTTGGTACGTCCATCCTTCCACCTCCTCATCTACGGCAAACAACAATGGCAGTGTGACGGACATACCCAAAATCAGACCTCCAACTTTACAGCGGCCTAATGGTCTAGTAGTATGATTCTCGCTTTGGGTGTCAAAAGGCCGTGTCGTGCCGTCCACCTGTGTGCGAGAGGTCCTGGGTTCAATTCCCAGTTGGGCCCTCGGTACTTTATTGAAGTGACTTTTTCATGATCAGACTTGAACAACCTTTTCATCCAGACTCATACGGCCGTATGACTCACTTCAATATTCGGAGGTTCGAGGTGACTGTCGAAGTCTTAGACAACCCGATTGTCTTTGGATATTCAAAACCACGGTGCCTTGGGCGCCAATATTCCCCTTTGGGGATACCGTAATCTTTTGCCTGTCGTGGTCGTAGAATGACTCTAAAAGCTGACCTTACTCATTTGTCGAACTTAAGGCTTGCATATAGTAAACACTCTATATCGATGCGGAACTGCCCTGTCGATTTTCCCCACAGGCAGCCTAACCTTGGTGCTTTGGGTTGGGCCGTACGACCGGGGAGCCAACGAAACATATAATGGAGGACATGCGACGCTTGCTGGTGGGCCTTGGAACCTTTGGAGGTAGCATAGTACTGGACGCTGGTTTTGCTTTCCACGCTGGTGATTTGAATTTTGAGTTCTTTACCCGCAGAAAGTAAGGGGGGCCATGTGCTCAAGTACGGTGTGACAATTGCCGAGCAGGTGTAACCTTCTATCCGTAAGCGAAAAAGGACTGTCGAACGGATCAAGCTGCTAGGTATCGGGGTGTTAGGGAGGTGGAGACGCAGCTTTCAACCGACACACTCGAATCAGGAGACAGAACTATGAGAATCTCGCCTTGATGTAGATCCAGGGTCCAGGGTTTAGGCTCGTCTCTGAATCAACGTGAGCAAATAAGCTCGGACTTTGGGCCACGAAAGCGTGAAGACGGACCATCGCGACTGCAGCGGGAGGCCCTCTCAGTTGGAAAGAATCTGACCCTGTTTGATCACGAAATAGTTATTGACACTTTGAAAAGCCATACAGGTTTTCTAGGCGGTCGCGATAATTGTGTGATTGGTTGTCTTCCGTTGTTTAATGGAATCTAGTTACTCTCGCACTCACTCTATGGATCACACAAACATGATCGATTGGTCCATCAGAGAAAGTGTCCCTGTTTAGGCACATTTACCCATCGTATCATAACTATGCAATCTGAATCCGTTTCTGAAATATCACTTTTTGGACTGAACTACGCAAAACGCAATGAGCTTCAAACCATCCCAAAAACAGAAGACTCACCACAGATCACATATCGCGGAGCAGCATAGAAGTGGTGGCGACTACTCCAACCTAAAAGGGAGCTCTATTTGCAATGTGCATCACATTGTTATTGGGACCATACGCTACAAACAAAGGCGCTCGTTAATCGTGACACCGACTCAAATCTCCAAGCCTAACCTGTGAACACTCCGCTCCCAACATTACACGTATATGCTTGCTGTGGCATGTAATTGCCGTAACCGTTCGATCTTGTGCTGTTGTAGGCCTGCTGAAGCGCAATCCAATGTCTCTGGTTGGGGTCGGCCGTCCGGAACAGGATCATGATCAGGCCACCTTTGCCTGCCAAAGTCAATGGGTTAGGGTAGGTAGCTATTGTTGAGATCATTTGTGATGGAGATGCCTTCTATGTTAATCGTTGTCGTGATCGGTAGAATTTAGAGGCAAGGGATGCTGCGTTGGGGGGAATCCTCCCTGGTAGGATCTCTAAGATTTTTTCCACGCTCCGGTTGAGCCGTCACCGTTCTTGGTTCAACTGAGAAGACCAATGAATCTCGAGTTGTCACTGCGCCCGAGACGTTCAGGGCAAATATGTCCGGAACAACAAAGGTGGCGCTCAGAATGATACTGCAGTTGACATCCATCACGGTGCTAGTGGTACACTGACCACTAGGACGGTCTATCAGAGACTAACAGAAGAGAAGCGCAGATTCGTCGTCGTAGTTCTCTGCTGTGTGCTGGCTGTTCCTGCCCGCCGCTAATAACCGAACTCTAACAATCCCAAACATCCTCGCCTTGGTTCGCTATCCCCGATCCCCTCCTCCACCACTCAATACAGATAGAACGGCCCAAGATGTACCTCGACTGTGACGAGGAATAGCGGAAGTCCTGAGCGAACCTGAAAAAACGTGAGTGAGTACATGTTCAGGATGTTGGTGCCATAGAGAGATCTCGGACAGTTGAGGGGCCCAGAATCTCAATGAGCGCTAGAGGCTTGCAATAAATAGTCTGAAGCAAGGACCGAATATTTCAGTGAACCACCAATCACAAAGGCTGGGCATCGATGCGGGGCGGACCACAGGGTCACTAAGCGGGAAACATGAGATTCCGATTTTCATGTTCGTAGATACAAAGGGAACCGGCACACGAGAAAAGTCGAGGCTGGAAGGAGCTGAGCATAGGCTAAAGGAAGTTCCTGCCATAGACATACTAGACAGAAAAGATACATCAACTGATTTCGGGGAAGTAAATTTACTGTCGACGTCAATGAGTGTAGAGCGAAGGAACTTCAGGCGTGAAGGTTCAAGAGAACGGGACACCGACGAAAGTGGTGGGGCTCGGAGCATTCAAAAACGAGGGTACAGGTAGAGTGTGGGGAGTCTGCGAGTCAAGGGAAGACCACACTGAGACTCGCAACGTCCTTGTCGGGAGTGGACGTTACAAGAGACTGAGAACCGATCGGAAACAGTAGCAGACTCAGATCTCGGGGAGGATACACGGTCCTTGGCTTGACTCCAGTGGTCTTCCCGTGAGTTTCCATATTGACCTCGACAGAAGGTTTCACATGTTCGAGGTCACCCAATTGCAAGCGTATCTTCTCTGTTTTCGACTGGTATCAGAGTACGCGATGTTGTTGCTCACAATGAAGGATAAAGACGATGTCAGCAAAGATTAGACGCTTGAAGAGAGAGATATACAAACCATGAACATAACCGCGCCAATCCAACGAGTAGAAAAAATGGACAAGACAAGATGGGCTCGTACCTGATACCAAAAATACAACGTTCGTGTTATCCTTCGCTGACGCCAGTCATCGATGACATATCCTTGACGAGCGGTTGCTCTATACGGAGTTCCTGATGAAGAAGAGTAGGCCTCAGAGTGAGCACCGTAGTCGAAGAGGGTCGAAGGGAGGGAAAGAAAAGAGGGGAGAAGCATTGCCGTGCGAATGACGCAATCGTGCACGGACCAGCTTGAGGGCAGGTTATCTTGCATTCGTGTTGTGACGCAGCCGAGTTTCCATGACAGCTTTCTGGATCCTTCCACCCAAACCCTCATCACCTATACCACACGCTGTACCGACAGATTACTCCACTTCCAGTCACATTGAGAAGAAACTAGTTGAGGCTTGAAAGACAGACAAGATAGTTTGAAATCAAATCACGGTCACTCAATGCTCTTGGTTGATATGAATTCGCGTGTGTCTTTCATCGAAGCCTCGGGAATCATGACTCAAAACTCACAGGGACTCTCCAGCTTCAGACCAGGCGTCACAGTAAAATTTGCTTCTGGAAGCTTCAAGCACACAAACCACATCGAGGGATCCTTGCTTGAAATTTTTCATCAAGTTCGGGTGACTCCGCTGGGTGCGTCCAGAAGCTGTTTTCATCGTACCACCGTTAACCTGCTTAATTTCAGCAAAAGGTGAAGTCTCTTGCTACTCGTGGCCTATCCTTGACGGGTGTCCTCGCTTGCAACCTCGAGACTCTCATTTTATCCGACGTGGGGTACATGATCTCTCAATTGAGGTCCACTCTGCACGCGATAAACGAGCGGTGACACTCGTCTGCGAATTTTGGCCCACTCAAACTGAACCCCTGTGACCCGTGAGTTGTGTAAAAGGCCTTTTCATTCCTTGAGGGTATACGACAAGCGAGTGGGTGAAGGCAGCGCGTACTATGGTTGATAGTCATCACAATGCTGGTCCGGGGGGAGATGGATCGCCGAACGATAGTGTAATCACGCACAGACCGACTTGACGGGAGGTCATCTCATAGACCGTTCGACTACGGATAAACGGGTTCCCATTGCTAAACCTCTCGTGTCACATGAGCTAAAGAGAGCCCCTTTCAGCGACAAGTCCGCCGACTTTCCGTGATACTTTGTGGAAGCCTTTCTTGAACCAATCCCTTCCCACCGATACACAGATTTGAGCAGCCCCCCAACTTCGTGATGAACAGGGCAAGAGCAGGACGAAAGCCAGTTTAAACAATCAATTCACGGCGTTACTCGATGCGCTCCGGTTATATGAAGCCCCGTGTGTATCTTGGATACTGATTAATATCATTGGGTGGACACTTACTGAGATTCTCCCACTTCAGGGTTAGCTCTGACATAATCAGCTCCAAGAACTACGTGAAACATGTCGAAAAAAGGTTGTCTCGTGTTCACGTCGGGTTCAGGGCGACCCTGCTGGTAGTAGGCGCACCCAAGTCTTGTGCTGAATCCAATATACTTGATTTAAACAGTACTGAGTAGTGAGTGGCCTTTGGTTATCTTGCTATTGATATATCCTTCACGGGTATCTCCATCTGCACCCTCGAAGGTCTCGTTTCATTGGGATTTGAGGATAATTGTTTTTGAAGATTCCACACACAGCATACCAGCGCTGGTACCCATCTATGAATGCTGGTCACTCAAATTAAACCCCCATGACCTGCGAGCCGTACAGGGCTTTTCATACCTTGGTCAGGAATTTGATGGTCAAATAAGTAAAGCTATAGAAATGGGCGTTAAGTCAAGGTGTGTCACTTGCTCAAGAGGGTCACACGGCATTGATCGACTTTATTAGCCGCTACCCCCGACTCCAACTGACACTACGCTTTGGCAGCGTACACACCTCGGTCTTTTCAATCGCAGCTCAAAACTACCCAATCAGTGAGTAGATTCGCAGTATCTTGCAAGCAGCGACTGTTATATCATCGTTTCTACGGCGAATCACAAACGGTGGCGTTCTCTCTTGCGGTCTCTCCCATGCAACGCTACGGGCATCGGGGATGCCTTATAGAGCAAGTCCCCTCATGAAACACCACAATTTGCGTGTGGGCGCGATTTGAACCCGTTGGACTGAGCAATGCTCATGGCCTAAGCCTCAAGATGATACGGGCCTTGAATGT